GAGGGTGGGGGGAGGGGGACAGGGCGTTCAGCCGCCGCAGTCCGGCAGCTCTTTTTCTTCCCCGTCGAGTGAGTTCGTCATCGGGCTGTTTGTGGTTTCCTTAAGCGCTGTGTTACCGCCCCGTCCTGAGCTTTGCATACGTAAAGAGGCTGGTCATTATAAGTTGCAGGAAGGAGGTTTAGTGATAGAACTGGCATCTACATAGCAGGTCTCAAGTTCTAGCTGTCCTCTTTTTCACTTGTCTCCACGAGAGACGGCTACTCCTTAAGAATCGAAATATGGCCACTTTCTCGGCTGTTACAACCCGACAGCCCACGCGGCAATTTTTCGTCATGTTATGCTACCTTACGACACACTGCCACTCAGCGAAACCTCAAAAGTTGTTCACAAAGTAAAGTACAGGAATGAGGTTGGGGAAACGGGCAGACTCGCTCACAACCTGGAGGCTAGACCCAAACTCGCACCTTGCAACACACATTGGGGAGACTGAATGTACCTTCAAGCTTCGAGGGGGGACGACCATCTCAGACCGGGGCAACCAGAAAACAGAAAGGCTAACACTTGGGGCGTGACATCCACATTCACGCAGCCACAGCCCGATGACGAGACCACTCGAAGAGAAAGAAGATGAGTCGCCAGACTAAAAACAACCCCGCAGTGGCTCAAAATCCCGCCATCGAGGTAGCGACTCATGACGCACACAGTCCACGAAACCTCCTCCAAGCAGTCAGGACAATGGACAAGCAGCATAACATTCCAATTTCACTGCAGCTGTTCGATCAAGTGACTTTAACAACACTGATGAGCCGACCAAGTATTCCACAACGCAAGCACTCAAAATCCCGCCTCATCCCGCGACTCATGACGCACACAGTCCACGAAATCTCCTCCAAGTAGTCGGGACACTGGACAAACAGCATAACATTCCAGTTTCACTGCAGCTGTCCGATCAAGTGACTTTAACAACACTGATGAGACGACGAAGCCCTCACAACGCAAGCACTCCAATAAACCTGTTCCGAGGCGTCCTTACTTCTCAAGTAATGCCTAACTACGAACACGGAAGCTGGGGTTCTGTAAAGGTTAGGTAGAATTGGTTGTTTTTTATCGCTTGCCAAAGATAGCAACGCTGGGAGACCGTCGGCCCTATTTGCATGCTTCTTGGTTTAATTCCGTGACCGACCTAGCCGCAAACAGAAGTAGGTCGCTCTCAGCAGGAAATAAGGCAAAAGGCAAGGCACGGCAAAGTCCGAGCAATGCGCATTTGCGAGGGGGAGAGCGAAAGACATCTGACTTCACCATACTCCGCTTCTAGTCTCACTGACGTCATGACTGTACACGGACAGACGGCAGTTCTGATACGAGTCGCTCGTGCTCGCCACCTACTTCAATCCCGGTGGATAGCGTTGGATGCGGGGGCGGGGAGCAGCGTGTGGATGAAAACAGCCCAAATGAGTAGCCGGTTATTCGCCCTTTAATGAAGCTAGGAGTGCATATGCTAGGGTGGCATAACTAGCGGCGCCATGAAGTTAACCAGTTGTCGGCGGCGAAAGCGTGCAGTTGAAGGGTGCGCAGGAAACACAGATGGGCAACGAGAGATCTTCATACGTTAAAGGCGGTGTAAGAGCTTGAAGTAAGAGTGGAGTGGGCCTGAGTAGGACCACCACAGCCCGACCGAAATATAGCCGAATTAGTTATTTGCCAAATAAACGCCTATTCTACTCAGGGCATGGCAGTTCTTTCAATAAGCAGGCTTAGTGACATCACGTTGCGATGAGTGAAAGACCCGATTAAAACCAAACGAGGACACCAAACGTCGGAGGCCTCACGTTTTGATTGTAGCGATGGACGAAGGTCAGTCCGCTACCTGACGAGCTAGTTACATCGAATTCTCCAGAACCGTCATTTCAGTGGGAAATAACAAATTGCAGTAAAAACACAGAAGAGCTTTCAAGCAGGTAAAAGGCAAGATGTTGCTTAGGAAATTTCGTCTAATATCATAAACCTGTAAAAATGCCAGCACACCTTCAGCATCTAAAAGTTTAAAAATATTCACTAGCTGGATACACACCCCACGCATCAAACCCATCTAGGTGGATAAGAGCAGCCGGAGTGATCTAAATAGTGCCTTTCAGACTAGCAATGAAACTTTTCGAAGTGGCAGTGGTTGAAAAAGACACTCCAAAAAGGGCCTTCGAACTCGCCCATCTCTGGTCGGACACAGAATTTGGACGGATGTCATAGTAAACGTCAGAAATTGAAATCAACAAGATATGGCGCCAGTCAGGGCAAACAGAATAGTAGGATTTGCCAATATTGTTTGCAGGGGTCGAACGTGACATACCCGCCACTAACTGAAAGCGAACCCCTTCAACCTGAACCTCTTGGACAAAGGCAACTCCCTGAACTGTCAATCGAACCGGCCGACGGAGAGGCAAGTGCTATTTTTACGACGGCCGATTACAAATATGTATGCAGACCTAAAGATCCGTTTGCGATACAAACTGAAGTATGATCTCCGTCGAGATAATAAATTAGTCAGACGCTCAGAGTGCAGGCATAAAATCCCTCACAGGTAGAGTCAGAGGATGGCGCCGGCTATTACCTGCAGTGCACAGTAATGGGACCGGTGACTGACGACCAGTGAGCCACAGTTGTCTTGACAAACACGAGGACAGGCAGGGGTGATAGTGGTACGTCAAAGTCACGCCAGTCAGTGTACTGGTAGTGATAGACGATGCGGTCCTTTGCAAACTAAAATGAAAAGCATGTTGTAGTTTAGCGGTTTTTTAATCCATATAATTTATTACGGTTAACTACTGGTGCCGGTGGGGAACTACGGTCCAGGTAATAGCGACTTTTTAGGATAGTAAAAGTGCTGTTAGAAATCGAAAATGGTAAAACTCGTAGTTGAGCTGCGCGTTTGTTTTAATGCCCTTAAAAGCCGCTTTGTAGGAAGATGGGGGGGGACGGTAAACATGTCCGTTGCCTGGCCTGGAACCATTTATGCTCTTTAAGGTCCCAATGACCAATGACAGGATCGATTTGCTAAGTCCGGACATCCTTCTAATCGAAAAGTTTTGATTTACAAAAAATATATTTCAAACGAACTCTATCAATAATAGCAGACGACAGAGCAACCATGGTGTTCCACATTGTCCGAGGTTTGAGGTCACATGTGAGCTAGGTCAGTCATAAAAATTCGGCGCGGATGGGCCTTCAGTCCAAATGACTCACGTAGGCGTAAGAACATAGCTTCAGAGCAGTTGGCCATGGAAACTGGAGAGCGCAGGACTTCGAAGTCAAAGGATGCATCTCTAAACACCAGGGTGGTCAATACTATTTTGTCCAGTGATATAGAAGGTATGTGAATAATGGTCACTGGTAGGAGTCCCAATTGTTGCTTACAGTGAGTTCGGTCTCTGCTTAATGGTTAAACACCGCCTGAACACGATTTTACAGAAAACAGACCTAATAAGAGCTTGAGAGTTCAGACGCTCCCTTCAAAAATTTAAAGGTTTGGGGGCGGAGCTTCAGCGAATATCTAGTTTTTGTTGGAACGCACGGAGACCGGAGACCGGCGAGCGCAAAGTGGGGGTATTCAGAAGAGGCATCAAAAGGAGTTCAATTAAGGGAACCTTTTTGCACTTTTGGTTTTTCACGTCAAAAACGCGAATCACGTAGCAAGCCAGGAAGGTCTCGGAGAGCATGCGAACACTGATGGTGCCGTAGGACTGTTGACCCTCAGACGGCCAGTACTGATCACATTTGCGCTGCAAGAAAAACATAAGGTGTGCCATTAATCGGGGAGAAAAATCGATTGACGTGGGTGGAACAATGATGGGTGAGAGTACTGACCCGATTTGCCCATCCGCACCGTCCCCATCTGGGACTGTGAGTATGGGGGACCAGGCGAAACGGAGGATACCGATTGATTAGAAGACGACAGGAGTACCATGTGCCACTCCCGCCGGTGTTAGCTAGGGTCGTGAGTAGTTAACAAGGCTAGTTTGGATGGGAAGCACTGGCGAGGTATAATTACCTCCAAGGGCATGAGACTCGGTAGGAGGCGGGAAGAAGAGTAAGAATTGAGTGCCTTCTAGACTGATAGTCTTTCTCGCAATTGAGAATTACAGTGCTTCATTTTTTTCCCTCTAGACGAACGCAACAGAAATGTCAAATCATCTCCTGTCTGTATTAAAACAGTATGCACGCAGTACATTGAGGAGACCACACACGGATACACTGGTCACTACTGAGAATTTCTTATTTGAACTTTTAATTTCCTTAGAAAATAAGCTCTGTTCTCCGTATGTATCAGTACATTTAAGGTTTATATGCAAAGACTGGCATTTGATACTGATATATACCGAAAACAGAAACTAATTTCCAAAGAAATTAAAAGCTGAATTTTCGAATCCGGTATAGCGACCAGAAAGTAAACAGAGAAAGTGGGGGGACCCCTCGCAGCTACAGAATACCGGTGAAACACGTGTCTGGGTCTTTTAGCT